ACGACGAAAACATGAAATTCGTAATGTACAAACGATTTCCTTCGGAAAACACCCCTAATTTGGTTTTATTGATCAATTTTTAATTTGTTGTCGGCTAAGATCATGCCGAAATTTAATTAATTTTTTTTAATTAATCCGTTGATGTACAAACAAAAATTTTATAGGTACAATCATGTACTAACGATGTACAATTGAGTACATAATTGCGTTTTTCGAATTACTGACTTTTGTCGGGTAAGTACCCGGGGGTCTATATGTCTATATTTATCCATATATATCATCATATAACTATACTATTACCAACAGTTGTGAATAAAGGATGGTCGTTCATAATTCTTTAAAGATATATCTTGAATATCTATAAATATATATATATATATATTATTAACTAAGTGAATATATATACTGTAGAAATCTTTATCAATCGCATAATTTGCACTTGGATAAATTCTCCGAAATTAGTAGAAAAGAAGTTCCTATTTGTCACACAGCGTTCTACCATAATATATACAGATGAAAGAATATGGCTTATCAGGATTACTTAATTTATAACTAGTGATAATTCATCGGTAATTAATCAAGAATATAATTCTGTGTTATCCTGTGTTCAAACGATGATTTTTCTGGTAGTGGATATTGGCATTGCGCATATTTCATCCATTCATTATTAGATCAACTGATTCGTAAGAATGAATGGCCAAGTATCGACGTCTCAAGAGAGGTTAGGTGAGTTGTTGTTAATTAATAAGAGTAATGAATGAGTGAATTATATTTTTGGCCCGTTTTCGATGATTCATTAAAGTTTAAAAAATTTTCTTTGATTTTCAATTATTGGTAATGGGGTGAACAAGTCTATTCTCGAATAATTTTTCTAATTAAAATTTATTTCAATTATATTCGTAAGAGTCCAAAATGTTTCCTTCCTCTCCTTCAAAGGAAAAATGAGAGTTATTTGATGTACTGAGTGTGATGTTGTTTATCTTATATGATATAAATTGGGATGCTTGCCGCTGATCATATGGAATGTTCGAGGGAATGTTGTAATAGGATATTCTCCATATTTACTGATCTATCTAATCTGCAGCTTGAAAAGATACCAAACTACTATATAAATGCCTGGAATGTAATTTCGGAAAACAGAAAAATGGGAAATCTGTTAATGGCATATTCTCCTTCTGGGATGGTTTCTCTTGGAAAGTTGAAATGCAATTTAATACTATAACACCCTCACAAAACTTATTCATTCAGAAACAAGAAAAACTCATTTGGAAATTTTCTACCGAGTTATTATACTAGGTCATCAAGTTGCTACAAGGAGAATAACTCTCGTATAGTCCTACTGACGAGATTTCAGTCCTGATTTCCAGAGGTGAGAGCTAAGGATATGTGTGAGAATTGGCTAAAGAGTGTATGTTGACTATATGGGACATAAAATTTTGACATTTGGATTTTACTAAGTTTTTTGAGAGGGTAAATAATAGTAAGAGAAGCAATCATGAATCAAATACCGAGTTTCCCGAATAAAAGAAGAAAAATATAGAAGCAATTGTTTCCCCATGATGAAAAAACTCAAAATTCATGGAAAAAATCGACATTTTTAAAAATTTTTTTTCATTTGTTTTCATTTGTTTTCGATTTTAATTAATCGGCTCTTTTTCAGTACTCGATTATTGCTCAATGTTCGATTTCTATTCTAAAGATCGACCCGAGAAATGTGCATGGGACGATTTTATATTTTCCATTTTAAACATATCGGGGAAAACACTAGGAGATATTTTCAGTTGATTCTCATCACCGAATTGATATTGGAATGATTTTTTTTAACGAAATTTAATACAGAAATAGTATTTTTCACGATTAGGAAGGAAAAATTGAATCTAACGAATGCAGCCCTATAGACCGAGCCGAAAGCGAAGATTACAAAGCGCATGAAGCAGAATCACTTTTTTAGTCGTGGTTAGGATGTTATTTTATATCATTGTGGCTGTTTATCAACCTCAATTACATAAAAATATATTATATTCATATTCTCTCTACTGTAATGTCAGTGATTCATTCAGAGAAGTTTGCGACGACGTTAAATCATTTATTATTTGGCAATTGAGTACAATTTGACCAGACCGTACTCGACCAAATAAATTACTGTAAATTATCGTCAAAATGAATTGAAATTGACAGTACATATTTCGATTGTGTACAAAGTTTAATAGTTACCGAAAAAAATGTCTCGTTCAACTATGGAAATACCTGAACACTAAAATCCGATAAGTTGCCGCAATTTCTCGACAAATTTCTGTTTTCTTGCAGAAAACTTTCATATCACTGTTTTCTGAATAAACTAACAATAATGAACAAAAATGATAACATCAAATTTTATATTTAATAAAGAGATGAAAACAATTCATCATCGGTCTTTATATATATCTAATGTAGATATCACATAGATATATTATGTATTGTGATTTATATTGAGCGTCACAGCGCCAATTATCGGCCGTATGAAATTTTATTTTATACTTATTGTCAGATTCTGAAGAGAATCCCGATAATTGGGATTATTGAGAATGAAATTTTAGTCACCAAGCAAAGTTATTCAAAATTAGTAAATCATTAATTGATAAATTTTGGAATTGATGCAATGGTCAAATGACCAAATGTATTATTTTCATAAATATTAAAATTCATCATCATGAGAACGCTGATGTTTAATTAATTTTGGAGAAAAAACCAAGGAAATTAAGCATGAAGAACATGAAGTGAAAAAAACATAATAAAAAGGCATCAATTTCGGGACCGCTGGCGCGGCCATGTCTGCTCTACTCCTATTCCTCATCATGAAAGCAGAGATACGTAAATGAATCGAATCCGAAGTCGAAATTCGAATTCGGCGCACGGAGTGCGCAGTAGATCTCGTTTATAAAAAAAGGACAAACATCGAGACTATCGATATCTCGAAAGTCTGTCAGGCTCATTCCTCATTGGTTCAGTTGTCTGAGGCGGCTAGCTTGAATTTACAACTCATTTAATTTCGAATTTTGCAATCAGAATTTTTATAATTGATATTATTATTACAGAGATATATAATAACGGATTCTTAAGGGTGTTATATACACCCAAATTAACGTTTTTTTCATTTTTCTCTCAGACTCACTATGGGATTGACGTGAAAAAATAAAACGTTGTTGCGTTTTATCTTTATTTAATAACTCACACAGTTTCAAGGTAGTGCGAACATTTTTCTGCGTTCTTTCTAAACTTTCAAAAAGAATCACAAAACTGGCGAAAAGACATGAAAATGATCGCACCACAAACGCAAAAACGGTATATTTTGTTACATTAAAATCCTATCGATAATTTGCCGAAATATGAAAAAAACGTGAATTTTGACAATATATGGAAGAAGACCATCCGTAACATCCGAAATCAGGAAATTTCGCGGTAAATGTGAATTACCCCCCCCTCCACCGGTACTTTATGTTAAATTTCACCCTATCCGATAGTTTTCATCTCCCCATCCCGAATCCGTCAACCGTATGTTGGGGAGACAAATAGTTTCCTCCATACGTTGGAATTTGTATACCGCTCTTTGCATTATCCAGGGCCACGACGACAACGTAGCGGCTATCCGCCCCACGACAACACATGTTGGTACATTTAAAAACCAAGACAAAACAAAGAGGTATATTTTTGTTTACTCACTCAACAGCAACACCATTCGTCGTAGGAGCAATCGATCTCCTTTGGAAATTATGGACATTGACACTCGGTACATGCATGAACGCTCCGCTGTCCTTCATACAGCAAATTCTATAATTAAATTTATAACTATGAATCATAATTAAACAGTTCATACCTATATCGAGTGCCCACGTAGTAATCTCATGCCTCCCCCGATGGAAGGGCCGCTCCTGAATGTGGCACATGTTTATTTATCCGCAATCCCAGACGTTAATTGGAAACTTGAATTATCATTCGACATAATCCCTGACCCGTTATTGGCTAATCCTTCATGTAAACATGAGGATTAGTCCACCTTCGATATTTAATTCCTTGAGAGGGCTGTTCTACACATTTACCTCGAACTGAATAAGAAACATGGAAGTCACAAAGACCTTATCATGGATCTCATGGCTTCTTTCATTCTAAGCTTCGTCGTTTATCTAAACTCTTTAGTACGAATTCGATAGGAATGGCCGCGGATGATCACACAGACGTTCCCCCAGGAAGAATGGCCTCACAGTATATAATAAATCTCACTTCATAGTTTAGTGCTTGAATCGTTTTGAGTTTTGCCTTATTCAATTTGTATAACCGTCGAAAATATGAGATCTTGAATGATCAAAGCAATACAACAAGCAGCGCTAATGTGACACCGTATTTTACACCCAAACGGATATTTGAAAAGTCTTAACTTTAGCAATGATGAAGATGGAGAGAATAAGTAACAACCGTATGGAAGCGATTTTTATAAGCTTCAAAATTAAAAATATTCCTTAGCTTGAAGAAAGGGGAGCTGTAAGAGCTGAAAATGTCAACTGACTCAGAGTGACAATGTGTTTTTTTTTAATAACAGAAAAATAAGGAAAATAAGGACAATTTTAAATAAACTGTGCATCTTAGACGTGGTGAAGTGATCCTCTGCGGTTTGTAGTCTATATGTTGCGAACCATAAGCTAGGGTTCTTTAAGTGGTGAAGCCAGTGTAGGCTGCTGTCATCCATTGAAGTAGTTACGATGCTCCTTTATGGCGCAGATAACCTCAGAGTACTTTTGCTCTATTACTCTTCTGTATTTCTGGTGAAGTGTTGTGAGCCCACCACTAGCATTAGCTATTAACCACTCTTCGCCTCCGATAATTTGGATCAGGACTGCTTCTACGCCTTTAACATCGATTTGCAGGATGCTAAGGTGGTGCACTTATTAGGTGCTCGTTTGAGCATTTAATCTTTCTTATTCAATGCCTAGGAATCTTTACGGCTGCCTTAGAGTCTTCGGCACGGAAATTTCGACAACGGACCGCATCTTTTGTAGATTCGCGTGAAGTCTCGCAATTATCAATTAACCTGTATAATGTGCGAATGCCACGCATGTATTTTCACAATTTTTGAAATAAACCAAATATAAAATCACTGATAAAAATATGTTTGTATGTTTTATTTGTCTTCAGGTGGACTGGCGACTACAACAACCAGTTGGTTTACAAGTCTAACCACATCTGATCATATAAGTGGATTGCCTGAGTCAGCAATCCTGGGGACTGAGGTCAAAAATCCACTCAGTGACACAGTTTTGGGAACTGAGGCCGATAGCAAAATGAAGACAAAACTGCTCACCATGTGGCATAATGTCAAATACGGTTTGTGTGAGCATTCTGAGTAGTTATCTTTGTCATTACTCCAATCATGCTAATTATATTTGGTTGACTGCAAAGCAGATGAGCGATCTAATACTTATTGCCAACCATGAGAAACAATTAATTTGCCAACTTTCATCAAAAGTTTTTTGTTGCGGAGAGTCATAGAAGCACAAACAGACAAACACTCAAAATAATCAAATAAGTCGTTACGCAATGGAAAAATTAGTCACAGCCCTCCTTAAAATATAATTTAGTAATAAACAGGTCATTTTGACTTTCACTTTCTACCCTTATTTTTATGTGTCCAAGAGAAGCTCAGGGCTCAAGGTCTGCTACACATCCTCACAATAGTTTTCTATAAACACATTCTCAGTCCCACCCTTTTTCGCGTAATATGTAAAAAATAGAGAGCTCTACTTTTAATTTAGTTTCAAACTGGAAAGCGAAGAGAACACACCGAGACCTTTAGTCCTCATTCCGAATTCATCCACATATCTGTTTCTTATCCTGCCTTTCAATATTGCTTAGTTCAACCGTTTTTAAAATTCAATATTTCCTAATTGTGTATGTAATATTCAATTAATGTGATTAGTGTTTCTTTTTTCCTTTCACCTTATTAAAAACATGATTACTTTCGGGTCACTCGTCGCTGGTAGCAGTACAGAAGATGGTAAACCAAGGATTATCCGGGGGTAAAACTTGAAATTGTGATATTTAAGTTAACTATGACGTCAACAACTCGGTGTCTCTTATAAGACTTTTGTTAATTGTTTTTCTATATTTGATAAAGGATGAAGTGGTAAATCCCACATTCGATATTTACGTCCTTATTATCCAGCGCAAAATATCCTGCATGCAAAACGGTATATATGTGGGAAATATATATCGGTTATATGCACATATATTTTGCAAAAATTCTATATATCACATATACACTAAATATGTGGGAGCACATATTTATTGCACGCATATATTCGGCATATATCTGACATATAAATGAAATATATTTTCGGCCAAAAATCGAATATGTTACATATAATTGTTAAATTCAAATAATAATCATTAGTTATTTGTTTGCCTATTGAATATTCTGTATCCGTCACTTGTTCCTTGACTAGCTTTGCGTCGAGCTCACATTGACCACTTGCGTAATTAATCCGTAATATAATAATGATGAGTCTTACGGCAAGTTTTCGATGTTGAATTCCTGACAGCACTCATGCCAAGCCAGTCAAACAGCTCACCGTACCTAGAGCTGGACTTCTATCTGACCGTGGGACTGCTGATGCCATGTCTCGATGACAGGAAAGAGGGATTATCTCTCTCGTTCTCGCTATCCTCCATTGTTTTACGTGTTAAACATATCTTATTTCTAAAATCCGACGTACTGCTTAATCTCATTACATCACATTAGCATATATTTTTTTTTTAGTGAGGAACGGAAACTCCTAGGAAAACTTATTTTCACTTTTCAATTTTCAAAGTTTTAAGAAAAAAAATCATCCAACTTCTGACACCGATGTAACAATTGTGACGAGGCAGAATTTTTTCTTAGGCTAAGTTAGATTTAAGTTAATCTTTTTGCCGCCGTTGGACAATCCATCCCCAGATCTTCCTTATCCCCGCCCCTACTCCCCCTCGCCGTACCACTCACGCATCAAGGAAGAGGACCCCACATGATCCCGGAAGAAGGAGGCATCCCTGGAGCGAGTCCCCCGTGTCGAAAGAAGGAAAAGGACACACAATCACGAATACTCCCGATTAGCACGGATTATCGCCGTAATCGAGAGGAAGAGGTGAGGATGATTGGAAGAAATCACTCGTGCCACAGCTGCCCCACGAGTAAGAGAGTTGCCCCGAAGTGACCCTGTGAAGAGACATTGGTGTGAGAACTATTGTGAGAACTATGAGAGAAGAGGGAACTGAGTGAGAGGAGGAGACGGTGTGAAAAGAGGAAACTGTGTGATAGGAAAGAGAGACTTGTGTGCAGAGAAAAGGTGTGAAGAGGATACACGGAGAGAACAAAGAGAGAGAAGGAAGGAAGAAGGCAAAAACCCAGAGGAAAACCGAGAGAATTCTGAGGACACCATTCCCCGTGAGTGCCCCATTTTTTATTACCTGCCCCAACGAATTTCCCTGCCCCATATTACATTCCCCCCCAACGGCGAGCCTCCTGTAAATGCATTTTAGTTGTAAATGAAGCCCCCTATTAATTCTTACTTTTCCACTCGGCCCCCTCACTTCCCCCGTTTTTCCAGAGTTAGAGTCATCCCTTCTTGTTATTCTATTATTTCGCGTAACCGCAATTGAGTTGGCCTTATCCCCCCACCCTCGAGTCAATTCGTCCATAGTCAGAAGGCTTTGGTTAAATTTTATTGCATTAAGTTGTTTTTGTAAAGAATTGGAATACAGAATGTCATTTCACCTTAATCCCGTGAATTTTCAACCACCCCTCTCCATTAGTATTTGAGGTCCTCCCTCTGACTATTGAATACTTCCCGTACAAATCAGTATTTTCTGGAGAATTCCTGAACATCGTGCCCCGACCAGAAATTAATATATTTTAATCCACCAGCCAAGGTCCAACAATATGTACATATTGTCAAAAGGAACGTTTTTTTTTATTCTTCTGACGAACTTACTATAGGTTAGACCTGAAAGAATATAATATTTTTGCGTTTTATTATTATTTAGTATTTATTTCACAAAGTTTCAAGGTGGTACGAAGATTTTTCAACGTTTTTCCGAAAATCCGTGTTAAGGTTTAAAACTTTTCAACTGCTTATTGGAGCCATTTACATTTAGCTGCCTGTAAGGTCTTCATCAGGGGCTAAGGGACTGTCGCAATCCCTTCATGCCATTAATCCCCTCAATGATAGTTTTTTGGTTCGGCTGTAGGCTGCGGCTGTTGTCCTCGGGCATGTGGGCATTTGCCGCTCTACATTCTAAATTCAACTAATTTCATGATAATTTTGCATTAAATTTAGTATTAAAGAAGGTCTGCATTACAGTGAAAATTTTTCTTGTAGGATGGACCTCCAAACTGAAGACGAATTTCTCCAAAGAATCTCCAGTGTGGCTTTTAGGTGCTAGCTACCACAAAACAGCAGAATCCCCTGAAGCTGCTTCGGAAGCTGTGGCATTTGACACAGATTCGAGTGGCGACATTTCTATCGCCGAAGACGCTACGAATTTCGATGAAGGCATGGAGGGCTTCAAGAGAGACTTCGTTTCACGATTATGGCTGACTTATAGAAGGGAATTTCCTATTTTGAATGGCTCTACATTTACATCTGATTGTGGATGGGGCTGCATGCTCAGAAGTGGGCAAATGATGCTAGCCCAGGCTCTTGTTTGCCATTTTCTTGGCAGAGGTGATCCTCAAGTTTTACATAAATCATGAATTTAAAAGATGCCGATACTCCACTATTTATGCTATTCAGTGTTATTAATTAACAATTATTCGGACAGTTAGTACAGCACTACACCCATTACTAATGTCGCAATGTTTTATGAAATAGATAATGTTCAATAGATAGAGATAATATAAAAAATCAAATGCAGATAGAATAGGTCGAATTATCCCCTTCTTTCTCTATTTTAACGGAGTTGTCAATTTTAATATTGTATGATTATATGAAGTTGAAGATAACTGTTTGTTACGATTTGTCAGCTTGGAGATGGAGACCAGATCAGCCAATTCGAACTGACCAACAATTTACAGACGAGAGTAAGCACAGAATGATAATAAAATGGTTTGGAGATCAACCAGCAACTCAATCTCCTTTCTCAATTCACTCGCTTGTGTCATTGGGCGCTTCAACGGGAAAAAGAGCTGGAGATTGGTATGGTCCGGCCTCAGTGGCGTACCTACTAGGTCAAGCTGTCGGAGCAGCTGCATCTAGACACGACGAATTAGAAAATTTAAGCGTCTACGTCGCCCAAGACTGTGCTGGTAAAATCAACAATTTTTTTCACTAAGTCACACTTTGAACAAGCGGCGCTATCTTCAAATTTATATTAACTTTATTGTTGTCATTGTGATTTGCAGTTTATTTAGATGATGTAAGGAGGTGCTGTGAACGTGCCGATGGTTCTTGGAAATCATTAGTTCTTCTCGTTCCTCTCAGATTGGGGGTAGAAAAATTGAATGCTGGTTATGGACCATGCTTAACTGCTCTTCTCAGTCTAGACATCTGTATCGGTGTTATTGGAGGTCGACCACGACATTCCTTATACTTTATTGGATATCAGGACGACAAACTCATTCATCTCGATCCACATTATTGTCAAGAGGCTGTCGACGTATGGAAACATAATTTTTCACTTGCAAGCTTTCACTGCTCCTCTCCAAGAAAAATGTTACTCTCGAAGATGGATCCCAGTTGCTGTGTTGGCTTTTATCTTCATGATAAGAAATCCCTCGAGAATTTCATCAAGATTGTTGAACCCTTTCTCATACCGCCCAATCAAAAAGTTGAATATCCAATGTTTCTTTTTTGTGAAGGCAGTGGAGATGAAATGCGCCGGGGATATGAAGAACTACCGTCGACTATAACGAACTTAGAACAAAATATTCAGAGCGATGATGTACATTATGAGTGCGAGGAATTTGAATTTCTTTGAAGGTAGAAGTCTTCGCCATTCGTTTTATTGGCCCAATTTGCTTATCTTTCAAACACTATTTCAATTTTTTTTGTCCTCTTTTCCTTTTTTAATCCGTACTATTCGTAAAGCGTTCTTCCTTTTTATTAGTGCGTATAAATTATAGTTCCAGTCACTATAGAGTACGGCATAAAACATGCATAAATTCTTTTTTATTATTTATTTTCTCGTCATTATATTTATTTTATTTAAACGGTTAGCCAATAATTATTAGTCATTTATTAGAAAGTCGTTATGTCAGTATGGTTACATACTAGACAATCAACTGCCCTGTCTATGCGAAGCTACTTAATCCATTTTTTGCCCCCACATCTCTGCCCCATCTGTTTTCCATATAAACATGTTCCACACAAAATATTTTCTTTTTGAAATTACCTGTAAAGTGACTTCCACTCCGAAGACAATATATTCAATATCTATTATATAAATTCTATACGATACGTGTACGGTGTCATTTCAATGATCACTTTCAAAATTTAAACAGCCCTATTCTCAAATCATCACAATAAATGAGAGATCATCACAAGATAGATTCGAAAATACAAAAAATCATTTAACCTTCGATAGAGTTGAAAAAATTACGAGAAATTTATGCAAATTCCTTTATGAAAATGCCTGATTTATGCTTTACAGAAGAGGTAGGGATATGAAATCATATAATACAATGGAGGTTCGGTATAAGATATTGTAAGAAAGGGGAGGAAATAAAATTCCGTAAATTACCGTTGGCCCACTCTGCGGTTATGTCACAGAGGATTAAAACTCTTGCGCTTTGTATAAAGATACTAGAAAAATAAATTTAATCTTTTATGCGTTTTCTGTCACTCGGCCTGCCCTAGGAAGATAAGTGGCCACTTATCACCTTCTTTTTTATTTATCTCCCTAGGGCACACCGTCTGAAAAGCATTTTTTTTTTTAACAACATATTTGATGAGTCGGTGCGTTTGGTGCGGATTATGATGAAATACGTTTCTAAAATACTTTTCTCCCCTTGTACCATAAATTAAGATTTTGGTTGCATTTTTAGAGTGTATTACCATGTGTTATTCCATGCTTTCAGTTCTACATCCTTTTTGTCACGTGACTAGATTTCCTCAAACGAGGAGGTTTCGCAGTATTAACAGGGAAGAAAAACAGAAGAAGGAATATTTTTTTCGTTTGTGCAATTATCTGACGTAAGGAAATTAATTTTAAATATTCGAAACACATTAGGACAGAACTTAACTTTATGTTTAAACAATTGTCATGATTGGCAAGTCGTTGAAAATTCTTTATCAACATTGTAGAAAAAAATAAATGAGATATCATCTTAAACGATTGATAATTTATGATATAATAAATAAATGAATCATTAATGTTAATGCTTTCCATTGATTTGCATGGTATCTTATACGGGGCGCGCAACTCAACTTAAACATAAAATGTACGAAAGTCCCTTGTACTATACTCCCCCTACTTTCATACACTGCAGATCACGCCAACCACTTATTCACAACGGGCTCTCTCCAAATTTTTTCAATATTTTTACCATTTTTTTTCTTACATCCTTACAACATAGCAATCATCAATTCCGAGATAAAATTCTTCCCTCAATAGTTTCCATCACCAAAAATTTTTAGGTACAATTTATAAGATAATAACAATGGCAGATAGTACTCTAATTGTTTTATCAAAACACACAGAATTGTGTGGCCCCCTTAATTAGTCATAAGAGTGTTACCCCACGGAATCATAAAAAAAAAACATCTTAAGGCCTTGCTGGAGTATCTGATTATCTCCTATAGATCCTGCATGAAGCAGAGCTGTGTCACATAAATGCATGTAAGAAACAAGAAAAAAACTATCTATACGAGATAATCCGATACTCCAACCGGGCCTTAAGTGAAGGAGAATGTATTGATTAACTTCAAAATAGTCCAAAATATAACGAAAAAAGTGAGTAAATCAGTTAATCAGTTAGTAAATTATTCCTGCAATGATATGATGGAGGGAATATAAATGTTGAATAATTGTTGGATTGTTCAAAGATAATTCCTTCTGCCTCCTCACTGACCCTCTTGCCTACAGTATGTTGATTTGCAGACATCCTCAAAGCAAATGTTCATTGGGGGAGCAGGGAAAAGCAAGTCACAGCACCTCTATACGGGCTATAATTTCCGCAAATAGACTTCTTGGCAATAGTACAGATAACTATGTCTGTCAGAGGTCCAACCCAAATTTTATACCGAATTTTTCCTTTTTAAAAATACAATTGATTCAGTCACGTTATTAGGAAATTATATTTTTCCCAAATTATTAAAATACTTTAATGTTTTTGCGAGTTCGGCTACCAAGAACAATTGGATAAATCTTGCATTTTCAATTGCTACATTTCGCCATTAATCCGGTATAGCAACAAAAAGTGCTCAGTGAAAGCCTCCAACTAGAAAAGAAAATTTTTAACCATATATGCATAATTTTTTTCAATTTTTGTTAAAAAAAATTTCACATAAGTCTCATGGATGCCACGAAAAGCTCTACAGGAACTTTCAATAGTTGCTCATATATTCAGCATGGTGTGATATATTTTAGAAAAAAAAAACAAAAAAACTAATGAAGTTCTTAGTGGGGAACTGGCTGTAGAATTTTTTCAACTTAAGGCCCGGGTGGACTACCTATAGAACGTCATCTTTTGTTTAAATTTTATCTTTCTAGCCTAAAATACATAAAAATTTGGGATAAGTTTTGAGGTCACGAAAATCACTGGATTTGGCATGAAAAAAT